TCTATTGTAGTTGGTAACCATCCAGTAATTCTGAATGAACCCTGACCTCAATCCACAAGGGAAAGTTGTTCTCATTCTACTCTCCAGGCCAGAGAATGGATTTCTCATATCAATTCTATTTTATATTATTATTTATTATTTTTACTATTTATCATCTTCACTATTTCATTTGTTTTATATTTATTATTACTATTGAAGATATGAAAAATGATCCCAAGGACACTTGAGAATGAACCCAAATTTTTTTTATTATTACATTGGAGATATCTGTCACTTAGCGGTTTCAGCTGAGTGATGGCCATATCTCGAGGCCTACACTTTCCTTAGCAGATGAACTGTTCTAGGCAGTGCTGCCACCTGCACATTCCCAATAATGTCAGACATTCCCAAAACATCTTGTGTGACGAAAAGAAAAATTATTTCCTTCAAAAGCTTTACAAGGAAGCAGATTTTTCCCTATATTTGTTAAATATATATATAATGTTTTGCTATTCAGACAAGCATATGTCTTCGTAATGTTTCTGGAATTTCAACCCACATCCTTTTAAATCCACAATTAAGAAGAGAGACACCTTAAGAAGGCTGAAGAGTTCAATGGCTGAAATGTGGCTACAACAAAGATAAGGATTTTTGGCAAACTACAAGAGGCTCTAATCAAATCAACTCTGAATTGGTTAAACATCTCACATCACAGGACCTTCTTTCAGACAAGCAATAGGACTTTCACTTCTCTAGATCAACTGCTGATGTACTAAGAATTATTCATGAAAAAGTTTATCATGCTTTAGATATGAATGATGAAGCTCAGGTTATTGCTTTGGACATTTTGAAAGTGTTTAACAAGATTTGGCATACCGGTCTTTTTCATAAGTTGAAAGGCTATGGTATTTCTAGACAAATTTTTGAACTGATTCAATCTTTCTTAATCAAATTGTAAAATGAAAGTTGCCCTGAACAGCCATTCTTCTAGATGCACCCCCAAGGCTCTATCCTTGGACCTACATTGTTCTTAATTTTCATCAATGACCTTCTTGATGACATCTGTTCTCAACTTTATATCTATGCTCATGATACAACCATTTACTCTTGTCACAATAACAAGTCTGATCAGTTCGATGAGGTCAAATTGGCAGCTGATCTCAAACATGACCTACAGTCTTTTGTTAACTGGGACAAGGAATGGCTTGTTAATTTTAACTCCTCCAAAACAAAACTTCTTTATCAATCACCTGAAAGAAGCGTTCTTACCTCCCATCAGCATGGCTGATACTAACCTCCATGAAAGTGACTAGTTGTACCTTTTCTGGTTAACATTCTAAGTGGAAAGATTATACTAAATCCATTGTATAGACAATTTTTATCTCCTGAATCTATCTTACATATTTATAAGTTTACCATTCATCCATGCCTTGAATATTGTCACCGCATATGGTCTGGTATTCCTGCTGTAGAGATTCTTGATAAAAATTCAAAGAAGAATCAACATCTTGGCTTCAGTCACTTTCCACTACCACTGTAATGTAACTTCCCTGTGCCTTTTCTATGGTAATTGCTAAGATGAACTCTTTGTTATGGTACCCAGATTTTATGAATTTAAGCGCAGTCCTAGATTAGTAACAAAGTTTCATCAATTTACAGTTGAATTGGCTAGATGTAACTGTGAATTCTATGTTAGCAATTTCTGTTCTCACACCTCTTGCTTGTGGAACTCTTCCAGTTTCATACTTTCCACCCAACTTTGATCTTCGAAAATTTAAATGCAGTGTCAATCATTATCTACAATCTTCTAGATTACTCTTCTATTGTTCAGTGAGAGTTTCTTTTTAATCTTGATCTGTCACACCTAGTAACCCCTTGTCTTAGTGGCTTTACTGCCTTGCATGGGGCGATATGATAAAAAAAAATTCTTGTCCAAATAGCAACATAATGATAATTCCTCATCTAAAAAATTCCGACAAAAAAAAAAACAAAAAAACAAAAAACAAAAAAAACATTTAAAATAATTGAAATGTCTTTTTGAGGTTAAATTTTGATTTTTTTATTTAAAAGAAAGTTGATCCATATTAAAAAAGAAATTATTTTCCATACATAAATAAAGTTAAACATCCATACAAAAATAATCTAACAATTTCTAAAATGAAAACAAAAAAAAAATTAATTCTTTTAAAAATTTTTTCTTTTTTTTTTTTTTAAGTGTACATATTTTCTGTACTATCAATGTGCCTTTTTTTATTAAATTATGCATGCACAAACTCTCAAAAAATTATTTTGAGTTGTATTTGGCAAGGTTCTAGACGAATTTTCATGTTCACACTTGATATTGCATTATTTTTTTATTTATACTGCAGCATCTTCAGAGATTTCTTTAGGGTCATTAAAAAAAAAAAAAAAAAAAAAAAGAAGAAAAAGTAAAAAGTTCGTATCCGATTTTCATTTAATTTTCTAATCAAGCGCGAATTTTTTCGTGCATTTTTTAATACAGTTGACTTGAGTTAACGACTATATAAAAACTCCAGAGCACCTTAAAATTAAAAAAAGTACAAGAATAAGAAACATCAAAAGAGGTGGTGGAACAGACCTGTCCCTCTCTAAAAAATACACAAAATTCAAAAATGTTTCTAATTGTAATAAGCTGCTAATTCGCTTTCCTAAACAAAACATAAAAAAGTTCCTTTTTCATTGAAACAGAAAAAGCCTGCTCGTCCCTTTTACTGACTTCTATTTACAAAACGTGATTATCTAAGGTTGCCATCCAGATCAAATCATTGTCAGAGTTGTCATATTTTTTTCTGTATAAAAAAGTTTTAATCCCCTCCACAGAAATAAGTCGATCGTCACATGCAATATTTTTCATGGGGAATGGAAGGCTGCAAGTAAAATAGTAAAACATCCTGTTGATGATCGATGAGAAAAAGAAAAGAAAATGTTACGAAAACGATAAGGTCAATATAGTTTAACTAATAAACAAATGCGCATATATCTCTGTGTGTGTGTGTGGATTTTGATAAAAAAAAAAAAAAAAAACACACAAGAAGACAATATCAATGCATCAGTGAGTTTACTACTGTAGTAGTAGGAGCCGTAAGTAAGCAATAATGATGTGTTAGTGTTGCATTTTTAATACAAGCCTGTCTAAACTTTTATAAAATAAATTGTTTTTAATTGCTGAAAGTTTTAAATGTTCAGTTTTCGACCTTTTTTCAGCTTGCTTGACAAAATTACCAGACGAACCATAACAATTTCCTCGATGTCAATTCTGAGTAATTTTCAAATGGATCCGATATAAGCTCGAGCAGGTTTTAAATTCTAAGACTGACTGTTAGCAGTTTTGGGGTGTTGATTTTTTTCTCTCTCTGTCACTAGAGACTGGTGCACAAGTAATTCTGAATCAGATCATTATTTACTACTGCATCATTTTTTTTTCTTTTTCTTTCATTCATTCAATGAGCCACGTCCGGTACCCTTCGTAAACTGTTTAAAAATGACAGCATTTAACTTGATTGCAGACACAGTATTGATCCCAAATTGAAGAGCATCCACTCCAGTGCAAAAGATCGGAATGCAATTTTGTTTAAGGATGAAACAGATAACGAAATCATATAGAAAAATAAAAGCACAAAAAGAATATTTAATTGAAGATTGTGTGTTCATCAGATATGAAAAGAAAGCAAGATATTCTAACTAAAAAATTTTGAACTAATGAACGAAGGCGACAAAAAGTTAATAAAACTAAAACATCATTATTGACAGTAACATCAAAGCTGCGTAAGTGTTTGTTTGGATATGATAAAAAAAATGCGATTTTTAGTTATGCATATTGATTGAATATCGATTGAATAAAAAAAAAATGTATCGACAGGTCTTTCGTCTCTTTTTGTTTTGGATGCTCTATTAAGAAATGAAACATTTTTAAATTTGTGGATATTATTATTAAGTTACTTTCGAGCGTATCAAAGCATTTACTAAGCACTGCTAATTCCATCACATTTCCCCATTAATTTTTTTTAGCCAACTTCATATTATGAGCCCTCCTTTGGATTTGAAAATAAAATAAATGAAAGATCAAAAATGCAATATTATATTGGACACTATTTCTTTTTTTAAATGATTTTTTAATTTAGTAGACAGTTATTTTCCCATAAGTAGTAAACTGAAAGCTCAAAGGAACAAGAAAAAAATCTTGTTTAGATGGTGGGGGGGGGGCATATTTTCCTTACTTCATGTTAGATAGAATGGAAATGATTTTTAAATTTTAATACATCTTTTTGTTGGTTGTTTGGAACATTGAACTTAAAATTATGATTAATGCGTTTAAAAGAGATACAGAAAAAGGAAGTTGGGATCAGAATATGAGGCCATTTAAAAAATATAATTTATAAAAAATAATAATAAGGAAGAAAAAAAATCAGTGTTCTGTTCAGTATGTAAAGATCGTTTGAAGCGTTAAACTTTTTTTCCTTTTATTTTTTTTTTTTTTTTAAGTTTTGTCTGCATTTTTTTTACTTTAGGCCAGATCCGGGTGCTTCTTACCTAAGAACATTCAATAAAATAGATAAAAATATGTTTGTTTTTTTTTTATACCTACAATTCAAATTTCAAATATATATTTTTTAAAACAGTTTTAATTCGAAAGCATTTAAATTTTAAAAATAAAGTAAATTTTATACTATAGCAAATCAACTTTCTAGTAATCGAGCGAGACGATGCATTTAAAAAAAATAACACTAAGAGATAACCTACTGCAAAACCACTTGTAACTTCTATTTCAGTACGGATTATTAATAATACCATTTTAAAACAATTTTCAGACTAAATTGCAAGCAGGAAAAAAAGCATAAAAAAAAGTAGACCGAAAGACTTTTTAAAAAATGCCATGGCCATTTTATAAATGAATAAGAATAAGATTTTAAAAAAAAAGAAAAGAAAATGAATATTAATTACAGAATATAAAAAACGAAGTATATGATGATCAAAACATAGATAAAAATGTATTTATTTACCTTGTTTTCAAAAACGGCTTGGTTACAAGCGGGTGTGTCACAACATTGTCTTGCACATTCGTGACTGTTTTCAGCCTGGACAAACTTGACAAATTTCGCTCCAGCGGTCAAAGACCTGTTGGTTTTGATAATAACAGTGGCATTCATGTCATAATAGCATGTTTGGCTATTACCCTGAGTACTCCAGGCGGGTGCCATGTCATCTAAATTGTCTTTAGGAAGTTTTCTTTCGTCCTGATATGCTTGGACATTGTCAACATCTTTGCCTTGTTCGGCCGATCGACCATGTTGTTGATGTTGTGATGAAGGAGAATGTCGCTTCTCCAATTTAATAAGCGAAGATAGCCCCACTGGAGGAATTTCAAAATTGTATTCCAAGGCTAAGGAAAAGGTGAATACGCAGATGAGAACTAGGAGAGATTTCATGTTGGCAAAGCTGCGTTAATCTCTTTTCTTTTTGTAAAATTTAATACCAGATTGTCAGACAAAATGAAACAGACTTCTTACCTGCGGAACCATTTTCGTTTCAGTGCGCATGCGTCACCGGAAGTGTTCTGCAAACTAAGTGGATTCGTTTTTTTATTTCTGATTTTGTTGCAATCGTTTTTGAAGAGAGATTTTTATTGAAAAATCTATTTCAAAAATTCTTTTCTCCAAATTTTATTTAAAAAATTGTTTGCATTTGCAAAATTATATCTTCACTCCCCCTAAAATGCTATGCTAAAACTGCGCAATTTTATAAAATATTCAAAACCCGAAAAGGATCCAGAAAATAAAGAAAATAAATATAAAACGTGGTCTGTTTTTTTTCCTCTCTTCTAAATGATGCTAGATGCACAGGGTAACCTTTTTATAATCTATTGATTTTATTTTTAGAGTCACTAAATTAGATTTAAAAATCGGATTCAGTTCAGAGAGACGCTTTGAATTTTTAAAATTTCAGGTTTCAAGACATAAAAACAGAAATGCATGCATCATCATATACAATTTTATCTTTTCAGAAAATCTGATTTAATTATTATTTTAAATAATCCAATTTCTCTTTCATTTTCATTTTTCATTCAAATGCTCAAAGAATCCGAAGATGCAACACATGTTCCGGAAAATCCCGGATATTTTTTCCCGTAACTTTCCGCAAAGTGTGGGCGGAGAAAATCATTCAATCTTGAATTACTGTTTTTATGATAAAAAGAAGATGTTGAAAGTAATAAAGTACATATAGGCTTTTAAAGGTTATTTCAATGAATCTTGCTAATATAGTTTTCTTTTTTATTGCCATTTTTTCTCTGTAACTTACTTTCAATTACGGAAAATAACGATGTATACACGACTAGATACTCCGTCTATCAGGTTTTACGCCTTTCTGTATAATCTTTGCACGTACGCATATTAGTAAAAAAATAATAATAATAAAATGAAATATAGTTTGTTATTTTTTTTATTTATTTTCTAATTTTAATTAACTAAATGTAAAAAGCATACGGCAGGTTTGGAGGGTTCATTTTTTTTATTTAATATTTTAAATTTTCTATTGGTTCCCTTACCATATAAAATTTGTGAGCTAGCAGTATTCTTGAAAGAATGAATGTTTTTTTTGTTTATTTCGTGTTTTTCTCTTGAATTCATATTATCTACCTACATTTTTTATAAAAAAAAAGATGATTACCAGTAGCCACTGCTGATGCTAATTTCATTCAAATCAATAATTTGCTGGGATGATGTAATTTTCCAATTAATTAATTTTAATTAGCTAGATATTTTTGTTTATTCGTTTTATACTTTCAAGATTTTTATCACACACACACACACACACACACACATAATGGTTAGCCAATCATTTCCAAGTAAATGTGTCTGTTTGGGTGGCTAGCCAATCCCTGTTGCAGATACCTGCTCAGGCACATCTGTGTTTGTTCAACACCTACAAAGCACATCTGTAGTTTATACTACAACTATGCTAAGTGGACTGTAGTTACAGTTTCTGGGATAGAGTGCATCATCTGGCGTGACCAACAGTTTGAACAAGGCCAGTATACTCAAACTATCAACCATGATGACTTCTGACTTTGTGCCTGCATAACTATTTATTCTGTCTATCCAGTTTCACTTAAAAGGCTTGGGTCTGCCTTCCATGCACTTTCCAAAGGTGCCACATACTGACATTACTTTGCCAGGCTGATAACATCAAGAAGTCACCCTGCTGACATATCGACCATAGTGAGATTCAAACCCAGGCCTCATGATCAGAAAGTGAACCTTCTAACCACTCAGTCACATGCCCATATATATATATATATATATATATATATATATATATATATATATATATATATATATATATAATAAAATGAGGGTATTATCTACTTATAAATTGACTCATTTATCAAGGATCAATTCTCACTTCCCAGCTCTATATCTCAGTTCAGAGTATAATCTGTGCACTACATAAAAAGTGTTATACACACAATTATATATATATATATATATATATGTAAGCAAATGTAAATGGATATAGATCCGACAGAATGAAGAAAAATTTGGAAAAAACAAACAAAAATCCTTAAATGCAATTATGTTGTTTAAAATCAATGAAATGTCGACGTCTGACGTTTCGGTTTAATAAACCTTCTTCAGTACAATATTCATTAAAATACAATTCAGTTCAATTTGACAAAGACGATGGACATAAAAAACAAGTCTTATCCAAAACAGATAACTGAAAATTTTAAAATGATCAGCTTTCCGTTTAGCATGGTCACGTTGTCTTCACATGGGCGACGCTTTCAAAACGTATTCCTAAAAAATTTTTGATTATTTTGAATGAAAAAGAAAATGAAAAGAATTCTATTAGGATCTAAAATTTTTATGTGTATGCTTGTCGAGCATTAATCTCGCTAAAAAAGGGGAAATATTAAAGAAACCAGGTCTAGTATTCACCGTGCGTGAGATGGATATTATACCTGCTTCATAAATCCTCATTTTAAAATTTTCAGTTATCTGTTTTGGATAAGACTTGTTTTTTATGTCCATCGTCTTTGTCAAATTGAACTGAATTGTATTTTAATGAATATTGTACTGAAGAAGGTTTATTAAACCGAAAACGTTTACATTTCATTCATTTTAAACAACATAATTACATTTAGATTTTTGTTTGTTTTTTTCCAAATTTTTTTTCATATATATATATATATATATATATATATATATATATAAGGGTGTTTCATTAAGATGGATCAAAGTCAGCAGTAAATAAATCAATGTTATTGGTGAAAATTTATTTATTTCCCTATTCGATCATGTTATTTAAGTCATAGCAATTATGTGTGAAAAATAATATCACCCAAATGTCTGCCAAGGCTTCGGTGGCACACCTCCACTCAATGGTCAAAATTTTTGATGAGGCTCTGTATAGTTGCTCCTCGATCTCACCAATATACCTTATTATCTCATCCTTTAGCTGTTGAATTGTTCTTGGCTTGTTAGCATAGACCTTATTTTGAGATGACCCCAAAGGAAGAAATCTAAAGGCATCAAGTTGCATAATTGTGGGGGTCAATTGACTTCACTGTTTCAAAAAATGATGTAACCTGGGAACTTCTCATTGCATTTCTATTTGAACATCCATTTTTGTAATAGGCTTCAATAACCTTAACACATTGTTTGATTGTTAATCTTTCCATGGTTGAAATTGTCAAAGACTTAAGTTGTTAAATCTGAAAGGAAAAGAAAAAAATCATTAGATGCTTAAACTCAATTCACATTTAAAATAGGTCCAAGTTATTGGAACACCCTTTATATATGGGAAAATTATATATGTTTTTATATATGAAGAACAATTTTAGGAAAACTATGACAAAGTGCGAAAAGTCTTTTGTGTGATGCAATTTGCCCTTTAGGACTTCATTGGACTAAAATGATGTTTACATTGATGCGACTACACATGCTTGTAAAGGAGATGGGATGCTGAGAATTTAAAATTTAATTTTAAATTTGAATTAAATTTTGTTTTTTTTTTAATATTTATTTTGGGTTTATAGTCTAGCCAATTTAATTTAGTTTCTTTTGTTTTTGTTCATTCTTCCATCACTTTTGTTATTAAAAAAATCCCACATTAATATGCTTCACATAAAATTTGTTACAACTACTTCTAAAACAATAAAAACTTAATTAATACAAAACAAAATAATAATATTAAACTTGAAGGAAGAATTTACTCTATCACCTGTAATAATTGCCACAAGGAATACATAGGAGAAACCTCAAAGAATTTAAATAAAAGATTGAAACATCCATTGGAACACAAAACAATACACCCAATGCATTAGTTGCTCACCATAATGAGACTGACCAGAATTTTGATTTAAAATGTAATGATCATCATCATCACACACATTTATAATCGCTATATTTTGATGTAGCCGATTTTGTGCACTTTTGAGAGAATCGGATCCCAAGAGCCTTCTTAGCTTAGTAAATATTTTCAGGAAATATCAGCTTCTAATTGGTCAATAAACACACAAGTGAGCGTTGCAATCTGCCCACACACAATATATTTTTCCAGCGCGTGACTAAGTCAAGTTTCCCGCCAAGGCGCTGTGAGCCTGTCACGTGATTACATTATCTATAAATAACAGACACTAGTTTGCTCATTCTCTCTTTCTTCTCTATTCTTGCTGCAAAATGTAATCTCAGAGAATTTTTGTCTCGACCTTGTGGTCAGACGTTAAATAACATTTCACACATTCACGTACGTATGAACTCTTACAAACTTCTCCAAAATATGAACGTTCACACACACACTCACAAATGTTCACACACAAACACAATGTTAACTGTCTATGTGCTTTGTAATTTGTTGTTAATACATATATTTGTTTATATATATATTGGTCTTGTTTGTCTTCTTTATCTTCAGTTGGACTTAATCCAAGTCCAACATTCTATTGTAGATGGACCTTCTTCTAGCAGAAAATATAAACACATGTGTTTTCTTTTCATCTTCACCCCCACCCCATTCCTCTACAAACAAATGCTACTCTAATTAAAAGAGAAAGAACTTTATTAAGACAAAATGTATAGAAAGTGCTTTAATCGCTAGATCATCCCCAGTAAATTTACATCCAGGTTTTACATTTCACCTTTCTTGGTAAATCTTCTATTATGACAATGTGGGATATTTAATAAAAGTGACAGAAACACAAACAAAAAGAAAAAAAACTAAATGAAATCTGCTGTACTCTACCCAAAACATGTATTTAAAATCAAAAGCAAATTAATTAAATTTAAAATTCTCACCATCCCCTCTCCTTTGTGGCACATGTGTAGTCATATCAGCATAAACATCACTTTAGTCTGAAGTCCTAAATGACAAAATGTGCCACCTGAAAACATTTTCCACTTTACTTCAGTATACAAATACAAGTTTTGAAATAAAATCTCCACATTTACATTGATAAAACCCTTCAGTAGACAAAATGGGTTGGAAAAAGGATCCATACACGGTATGCCTTTCACATGAGCCATCATCATAGTAGTTA